CTGACTTGGAAGATCCGCCTTCCTGTTTTCGCCTCGATCTCCGCTTCTCTGCATCCGATTTGGATCGGCCAAGAGTCGTTCGAGAGCTCTCGACTTGCTTGTTCTGGGCTGTGTCAATCGGCTCGGCCTCGGTCCTGTGGGCTGCGCTAGCGGCGTATTTGTCTGATTTAATGCGCTGTCCACATATTCCCGCTCCGTAGTTCCGGGCCCAGGCTCGTCGCTAGCCGTCTTTCGCGATCCGCTCTCAGCTAGCTCCGAAGAGCTCCCCAGAGCCATTCTTGGAAGCGGCCTCTCTACAGTATTACACAGCGCATAAGCTGTGGTGGAATTAACAACGCGTGCATGCATGGTTAGCCTATCGCGCATGCCATAAAATAGACGGCGCGCACTCAGCCTAGGCAAGAAAGTGCACACGCTAGGCTGATTTATCAATGCCTGCTCTGCGGTTGTCTAACCCAGCCGTAGAGAATTCCAGGGAGCTCTTGGATTAAAAAGTTTTTTAGAAGGGCCACAGGGGCTATGTTTTGAAAAGTGGGTTGCGATAACACGAGTAACAAAATTCATGTAAAAATTTTTTGAGTTTCTCTCCGCTCGCTGATCTCCCCTGGTCACTACCGGTCAGGAAAATAGACTTATCAAAATAAAACAAACTTTTTATTTTTGGCAGCGCGAGGCGCGCCTTTACAGGCATGAGCATGTTATGATAACAAATTGTGAACAAAAATGTACAAGAATACAACCTACTTGTAATAACAGTAAATGTGTGCATTGATGTGTGTGTAACTGTGCATAGGTGTAGTGTTGTAGCTTGTGTTTGTAACTGTGCCGTTGAATTTGTGACTGTGACGGCGTCGGCTATGTAAGAATAGACAAATAATGTCCGTGAATTGGATGTAATTGTCCAGATATCCACGGGACAGTGACTCTAATTTGTGGCGAGTCACATTCGCCACGTCACATTGTTGATAAACGGACATTTGTGACTTTTTGTAGGGAGGACGCTTGCCAGGCGAATACCCACCATGTCCTGGGACACTGCCGCCAAACTATTTGCTGGAACGGGTTACACCCGAGCCACCCAGCTGGCACCACAAGGTGGTTGTTCGGCTAGCCAGCGCGCGTTGTTTACAAGAGGATGAATACAGACTGGGCAAACTTTTCGTTGCGGAGCTGGTGGAGCCCCGCCAAACTTGTGCAGATTTCGCCGCGCTCACGTCAGAAATACTAGCACCATACGGAGACTTAGACTGCGTAATTAACAACCGATTCGTCCTCAGGACTTTGTTGCCTATCCACCGTGAATTAACTGAGCTTCACTCGCGACACTTTCGTCAGTACACTGCGGCAGCTACCGCACAAAACCACACTGGTACTAACAAAGTTTTCCTAAGGACACTAACACCATGTGACAACTCAAGTGCCGAGAAAGAATTATCGCTGGGTCTCACTTCCGCGAGGTTAGCTTACATCTGCATTTCCTGCGCTTGCAGTGGTGCCATTTGGAGAGTCAATTGTGACTTCCGTGCTGGTGCGGAGCGCCAGTAGAATACCTATGCCTGAAGGACCCATTGAAGAGTGTATCGCATTCGGGAACAACTAGGCTTCGCTCTGCCAAACTTGCCTTTGAAGGGCTATATGGTTTATCGAGAACTCCGGTGCTTCAATCGCTGTACTTTCATAATGCAATCATGACTTTCAACAAATTCCATCGCGGTCAAAGCTTCACAGCTACGGGCGGCCATACGGAAGTGAAGCCTAACTATCCTATGGATACATAGGTTCCGCATCCTTCCTTTGTCCTTTAAATAACGTCACACCTGCTGACACTGAAGCGATAACTGATTGCCAAAGTCGCCCATGGGTGTGGATACAAACGAACACTCACTGATGTCATGTCACCGCCCCACTAGGAATCCTCCTAGTTGGAACAATGTCTACAGATCCAATGACGCTCTTATCCAACCAGGGAACTTGCAATCAGCACACAACGCAACCACTACATTAGCAATACGTAGCTACACTATTCGCATCAGCGTGCAACTCACTGGAAGATAACAATAGGTGGGCTTTACAAAAAAAATTGCCATTCGTACACAAGTCCTAAGCTTATATAATCTCCTTTACAACAGTTTCCTCATTCCCCGCCACAATCAACTAAAAGTGTTGGAATAAGGCCGTCGACTAAGCACCACTTGTCTCGCACTGTATCTTGGGAAGGCATCCACGAAATCGCATCACCTCTGGGCCACCACACAAATACTTGGTACGCAACCTTCAGCGACGTACTGCCGCCTACGCAACTTCACAAGAATCGACATGCGCAGTTTGCAGCACCGTTCACTCACCCGCTCTTTAACCATCCGCAACACCATGATCGAGGATTTCAAGCACCGAGAACAGTAACTACGTTGACGAAATATCTGTGACTTCTAAAGTACTCTGTATATATTCTGCAGAGCACGTAACACACTTTATCCCCTCCCGTCTATCGAGAAAAACTGGAACATTATGTACACAAATGTTTTAGTGAAGCGGCTGCAATCCATATATCGGTTAAATGAATCACTCGTCCGTAAATCCGCAATGTGCCGTACCATTTCTTCGCAGTGGTGCCGCGTAACACAACGCCAGGTCGAGAAGTCGTGTGCGCCACCCTTCAGTGCAA